TGATTAGAAAAAAATGTCAGAGAAAAGGAAAAGGTCAGAAGCAGAGTTTGTGGGCTGATGTCTGGGCTTAAAGCAATACACGCTGCCAAATTATGTTTAAATTGCAACCTCCTAGCCTTATTCTGTACCAGGGATGCTGGGAGTGGGGACCAGGAATATCCTCGGAGACTCAGAATGCTCCCTCAGTTCTGACCTCCCCCTGACCCACACCTGGTGGCATGACAACACAGGTGACAGCACAGCTGGAATGCATGCGCCACCCACAGCTGGCTTGTAGCATGCAAGCTGTGCGCACAGCAAGGCCCCAGCCCAGCAGGGCCTTCCTCAGACTATATACAAATGCAGATCTCGGGAAACACCTGCCACTGAGGTTTGCCAAAGCCACTGTCCTACATCCTTTGGCAGGGCGGGAGGATGGGTCCAGCACCCAGTAGGCCTGCTCTCTGTGAGAAGACAGCGCCTCCAGTACACTGCCAGTTGCCTGTGGGCTTGCATGGGATGAACTGCAGAGCACCAGCCTGCTCCAGGCTCAGCGGACTTAGCCTGCAACGGAGCGTGGGCTCTCCTCAAGGCAGGGCTCTGGGCTAGCACAGAGCCTCGTTTTCTTTTTAGTGCAGTGGAAGCTATGTTCCCCAGCCTGTCCATTTCCAGTGGCATGGGATTTCCTGCAGACTTTCTGCAAATTTTCCATTTGGGCGTTTCAGGGGAGAGGGAGACAAGTGGATTCTAAGGCCAGCGCCAGGCAGTGGTGACAAGAGTGGGAATGGCAGTGAGCAGCGTTCTAGATTAAGCCCTACTCCCCACCTCTCCGCTCTGTCTGGATAGTTGAGGGGTTAGACTAAGGTAAGGCCATGGGAAAGCCTCCTAAGGACTTCAAAGGCAGAGGAGCAAAAAGTGGGGGGCTGCTTTGGGGGGAGAGGTGAGCTGGAGAGAGGGATCCAATCTGTATCTTGTCCTCTCCATGTTAATTACCCTCCCCCTCTCACCAGCGGAGTTTGCCAATTAAAGGCCAATCTCTCTTGATTTCTTTGCTTTAAAAGGACATTTCGATTCACCCAGGCAGGCAATTAAATCCCCCTCGCGCCGCTCCCTTTCCAGAGCTCACGAACAAGATGTGTCCCTATCTCTTCTGGCATCAAGCAATGGGAAGGAGTTGATCTCAGGTGCTCACCTGCAGTTATCAGAATGCCAGACTCATTTAGGGAGCTCAACTCTGGAACCCACTCGATCCCTTCATTGATTGTGGAAAGCACTGTTTAGATTTTGTCCTTGCTCAGTAAACAGCTAAAAGTAACTGCGCGATTTCCCCTGCACGTCCAATGGTCTCTCTTCCCTGCTCCCCCTGACGCTCCCCCCCTTCTCTCTCTCACACGTACACTCCTCTCCCTCAGGCCTCTGGGCTCCCATTAATCAGGAAGGGACAGCCAGATCACAATCCCTTTGTAACACCCCTAGCTAATCCCCCCACCCCAGCAGCTGGGTCTTTTTGGGGGTGCTATGCCTTCCCCAGAGGAGGACTCAAGACTTTCCTAAGGGACATACCCTCTTAAGTCCCAAATCTGCAGGGAAGGCTTCTGAGAAAGGGGTACCCGACGGGGCCTCCTACCCTGCCATCTCTGAGAGTCCCTACCTGGCTAAAATACTTTCCGGGGACATCCGAGGGTCTTTCCTCTCTCTCTCTTTCTCCCTTCCCCCACCCTCTGGCCCTCTCCGGAGTTCCCTGCGGCCTTTGATAAGCTGTGGCAGCTCCAACTCCGCTGAACAAAGTTGGAGGTGGGGGGCGGATTCCCAGCCAGCAGCGAAAGAGCGCTGCTTCCGGACAGGGCAGCCTCGGTGCAAATCTCTTTGGGGTAAAAGCGAATTAAAATGGCAAACTCACCTTGGCGGTCAGACTTTTAAGGTCCTTAACAAGATCCCCATTTACTCTTAATTACTAACAAAGAAAGGGGAAGCTGTTCCCTCCTGCCCACAGTTTGCAAGTCTTTAAGCAGGCCCTGTGTTAGGTACCCTCAGCCCGCTTTCAGGCCAGTCTCCAGGGATAGGCTTGCCATGAAGCGTGTCTGTTGAACGTGCACACGCTGCCTTTATTTTGTAGAACAAAATAGACATACTCGTCAGTCATTCAAAACTACAAACGCATAGTAAAAAATACTGAGCAATAATTGTTTAAAATCCAGTAATGCTTTTTAAAAAAGCAAATGCTAACAGCTTTCTGGAGGATACTGAAGAGTCAGCCTGCAAACAGCATGTTCTCAAAAAAATGTAAGAAACTTTCTTTTTCAAAGTCCGTGCTCTTCCAGATGGAATTCTCTCCTTCTTTGCCTAAATGCCTTTCATGTGATCAAAGACATGTTTCAAATTAGGTCACCTCAACTTAAAATACAGTTCCCCATTCAGCCAGCCTCAAGGAAAAAGCTTTCTCAGAACTCTTCCAATTTTTTTCTAAGATGCCGAAACCTTCGTATCTCTTCATTTTTGTTAAAAGCTCATGAATCTTTCCCATGAACTGTCTGATGGGAAAAAAATCTTAAAAAATAAAACAAAATGTGCAGTTTGTACATTTTTTAGGATTTAAAGTAGAAGGAATACCTTTCCCAGTATCCAGTGTTTCACAGCAAGCAGGTAGATCTTTTTTTTAAAATAAAAGGTGGCTCTGGAAATGACATAGCTTTTAAAAATACCCGTACCCCTGGACACACCAAAAAATGAGATGATGTCTTTTCTCATTTTCTATCACAATTTTGCAAAGGACATGCAAAATGCCCTTGGTGCTTCGATGCGATTTCTTTTGTGACAATCATCTCCACATTGGATGAGACTCAATTCTTTCTTTGCTGGATATCTAGTCTACGGTGTGTGCTGAGGGACAGGGAATCAGACACAGAGGCGTGCATTGCGTTTCGGAGTAGCTGTGCACACGGAGGCCACCAGATCCTACAGTGGTTTCACTGTCACCAACACCGCGGTTTTGTCAAAGACCAGTTTTGATGGGGCTAAAGCCAATTTTCTCATTTCACCTCATGTTGTCCTCTAAATTGTATGTTTGATAAAACAGGTAAATGGACTTGGTGCTATGCACGCAAAGCTGATTTCTTCCTATTTTTCAGTATCTCTGTAGTGATGGAACCTGTATTAAAAACGGCGGAGGGAAGTGAAGTTATTAATCATTTTTGGGTTGATCGAAACTAGCAGTACAACACGAAAACTATTTCTGGGTAAAAATAGAATTGATTTCTCTGTGTAAAGAGAATTTGCTTCTTTTACTGCCTTGTTTTGGGAGGTCTTCCCATGCCGTGCCTAGTTCAGTAGTTTGGATATGTTATTTTTTTTTTTAAAGTCTGAACCTTTGGAGCCTGGGCAAAGCTGTGCTAAATTTCGAAAAATCATCTGGAGGATGAGGGGTGTAACCTCCCCTGGCACTCTGTGGCAAGCGACATTCTGTTTGGTGCAAGGGGCGAAAAAACGCGACCTAACGGTGTTTACATGTGTATTCAACCATGAAATTGAACGTTATCAAAGTTGGAAAAAATGCAAATCAAATTAAAACCAGAGAAAATTGTCTTTGGAATTACCGCAACCGGGAGCCCCCAAGTGTTTGCTTGAATGGAAGCATTTAAAACTGAAAACCATCTAAACTGGCCCCTCGCTGGGCTCCCGCCCCTCCACCCTCTTAGGCGTGGGCTCGCTCTTTAATTCTCTTCGGAATGTATTCCATTTGGGACATAAATCACTCACTCTAGGCGGAAATCATGTTGGAATAGAACTTTCCTTAAAAACTCGATACCTCTTTTTACCTAAAGGTTCTTAAAATCGGACCTGCTGCAGAAACGGAGCGGCACCCCTTTTCTTTTTCCGAAACGAGCCCGGAGCCGCTGGCCGGCGGCCCTGCGACTGGCCGGGGACCCTCGGGCAGCCTCGCTACGGCCTCGGAAGCCCTGCGCTCAGGGCGCGCGGGCGGCGCCAGGGCTCGGGCTCGGGGACCGCGCGGGCGACTGGGGGCCTGGGCTCCAGAAGGGCGGCGGGGGCCGGGGCTGCAGGGGTGGCGGCGGCGGGGACAAACCGGACCCGCCCCGCGCTTCGGTCGGCCACCCCTGCTCCGCGAGCTCTGGCTTCCGAGATGCAGCAAACACGGGAGCGGAGGGGGGCCCCATCGGGGCTTCTCCCAGTCCCTGCCCACGCTCATTTCGCCGACCTAGGGTTTAGCGACAGGGTCTTTGTGGACGACGCTGAAAAAGGATAAAGGACAGCTAAATACTATTTAGAAAAAAAAAAAAATCTAAAACCGGACGAGGCAGAAGGGCGTGCCGCCTTGCTCTTTGCCAAGTTCTAGAGCGCAGGGAACCGACCCTAGCAGCCCACAGCACCAGACAGGGCCCATCCCACCCCAGTCGCCCAGGGCGCTGCCAGCCAGATCATTTCCCCTCCCCCATCTTCCTCCTGCCTCGGGGAAAACACGCCAACCCGGGTTTCTCCCGCCGGTGCCAAGGTCGGCCGCGCTCGGGCAGAGCCAACGAGGCGCAGCGCCGCGGCGGGCAGGACGCGCGGGTAGAGCGGCCTCGGGTCAAGGGTGGGAGAAGACCCAGGCAGCCACGCCCACCAGTCTTAACTGGGACGGTGGGGACACCAGCAAAGGCCAGGCGACGCCGGTGTGGCCTTGGACACCTTTCATCCTGCCGTGACCTCCGAGGGTTGTATTTCGCGGCCCCCCCTTCCACCTGCTCTTCTGCGGCTTCTGACACCCTGCGCCCACCCCAGCCCAGGCGCGGGTCTCTGGCAAGGGCAGTCTGATTTTTCTCTCCTCCGGGGAGAGGAGTCAGTTGGCCACCTCCGCGTCTATGCCGTCCTCCCTCCTGCCTAGTCCTCGATCCCTCGGTCCTCGCGGATTCCGAGGGCAGCCTTGTTACCGGACTCAGTACTCCTGTCTGGCCACCCCACGGGGCAGAACGGGGAGCAATGGAAACCAACTTCATTTGAAACCTGTGTCTATGTTTTCTTTCCAGGCCCCCCTGGACGTAGACCAGCTCAACTGCGCCTAGGAAACAGACCCGGGTCCCCCAGAACTGTTAGCCGCCCTGCTCTCGGGTGGACTGTAAGTTGTGGTCTTATCCAGGAGCTTCAGGACCCTTATTTCCAAGGAGATTTGTACTGTTTATGTTTGTTGTTTTCAAAACCAAGCAAAGGAAACAGCAGCCAATTAGAATGAAATATTTTTATCCCCCTCGCACGCTGTCAGTGATTTGCCCCCCGGGATCCACAATTTTCCCAAGCCTGTTAACGAGTGACAATGAATGAGTGCCGTGTAATTTAATTTTCCTGTCACACTAAATAGAGCTACATTGTAAACCATAGATCTACTCTTACTGATAGGATCGCCCTGTTTTGCCATTTGCACCATAAAGACACCCCCCTCCCCCAAAGGGACACTGTATGGTCACTTCTACTCTTGAATTATTCAAGAACTTGATGACATTTTCCATTTTCAAAGGGAAAGTAGTTGCCGCTGAACCAAAGCACGTGGCCTTCTGTGGGTATGAGAATGTAGCCATCTGCATATCACCGGGCTGCAGGACACAGGTAGAAAGGGGAAAAATGCGAACGCCATGGAGTTAGAAATGCACACCGAAATCCAGTGGATTATTTAATTCTATCCCAAGCCATGACGTATACTTTCCTAGAATTCTCCTTCCCTGATCTAAAATATGTGTAAAATATCTTTTTTTTCTGGACATGACATGACGCTTTAGCCGGCACAGGGACATAGAACATTTCGAAATCTCTTTATTAAGAGATGAGAAATTACTTTGTGTGATGTCCAGCAAAACGATCATCGGTCCCCTTTTTTTGTGTTGACTTTTCTTAATTTAATTACTTACGATTTTAATTATGCAAAAGGAGAAGAAACTCCAACTGAAAAGAAATCACGGCAGTATTTTTGGAATCAGGCCTGAGCTTCCAGAAAAATCAACCCTGACATGTTTCACTGTGAAAATTCTCAGCCGTCCCATGACTTACAAGTGAATGCTTAACTTCCTCCAAAATAAAGTGACTCCCAGTGTATTTCCCTTTGCTCCTGAAAGCAAAGGGAGAGAGACGTACTAGCCTTTTTAAAAGTGTAAGTGGAGCTGGGACAAAGTTGGGGCACAGTTGCTGAGCTGCGGAGACTTTCGATCTTGTAAGTGATGCTTGAGACAAGGTATGGCCACTTCTGCAGAGAAGAGACATTTTTTTTTTTTTTTTTTTTTTTTTTTTGCTAAAATGACTCAACTCACACACCTTGGCTTAAGAGAACTAAGTATCCTTTCTGTGTCTGGCTGAGAATCTTTATTTCTATCTTGCAGATAAAGAATACATTTGTGGCAAGAAACTAAGTGTATTTGAGTACCTAACTTGTTTTTCTGAATGCCACATTATATCATTATATCATATGATATAATTATATTATATCATATATTATATCCTATATTGTATCATATCATATCCTGTAGTCATGTGCAAAATAGACTTGTTTGAAGCTCTGCTTGCGGAAATGTATTAAATGCCTTATTATTCCTATTTAGTTTTTCTTTAGTTTTTTTTTTTTTTTTTTAGTTTTTATTTTTTCCCAGAGGGGGGGGGGGGGGTGAGAAATCACCCACTGGGGGGATGGCCATGCCACAATCCCTTCTCCTCCATTCTGCTCTTGGGATTTGGGGCATGCAGGCACACAAGCCCTGTGTGATTTTCAGGCTGCTGGGCCCAGGACTCAAACTGCAGTTTGGCCATGTGGGATTCAGCTCCTTAACCTCCAGGCTACCCCCTGTCCCTTAAATGCTATTTTAAAAAGAGCTTGCCAAAGACCCACTGTTGCCCAAGTTGTGTAATACAGTAACCTGTTTCTCTCCTTGGTGTTAGGATGTGTTCCCATGTTCAGAAATGTGGCAGAAGAAATTGAATTAGGATTGATAGTTCTTATTTTTTTTTAAAGAATTATCTATTGAATTTTAAAATTTATTCATTCATTTATTTTAATTTGACCGGAGAGGGTTATGCACACACACATAGAGAGCGAGAGCGAGAGCAAGAGCGAGCGAGAGAGAGAGAGAGAAAGAGAGAGAGAGAGAGAGAGAGAGAGAAGGAAAGTGAGAAAGCAAGTCACCAGGTCCAGGACTCGAACCATGGTTGGCCATGTGGGAGTGTCCAGCACCTTAACCACAGTGCCACCTGCTGATCTCAATAGTTCTTATTGTTTAAGTCATAAGAATATACTTAAGAAATGCATTTGAAACACTTTCAAGTCAAGGAAAGTTGGAGTGGGTGTGGGCTCCGAGGCCAGCTGCCTGCTAGCATATCTGGTTATCTCCCAAAGAATGCTTTAGAGGGCAGACATGAATTAGTTTTAGAAACTTTTCATTTAGTTCTCCATATTTAAGTTATTCTTTTTTTGACAGATATTTTTGCTATAGGGTGTGTGCGCTCTCTGGAGTGACAGAGATACGGAGACAGAAAGCGAGAAATCATCCCTCAGGGAGGATGGATCCCACAGCCCCTTCTCCTCCACTCTCCTCTTGGGATTCTGGGCACGCAAGCACATGTGCCAGGGCTCTAGTCCCAGACTTCTGGGTATGGGACTCGAACCACAGTCGACCACGTGGAAATCCAGTGTCGCAACCATTGCGCCATCCGCTGGTCTCTGTTTAAGCTATTTGTAAGCAACTCAATGAAGACTGGGAGACCAAGACGAAATGATCCGTGTCTCCCACAGCATGTGTGTTCTCCCCAGCATCCTAGTGTTATAATCCAGTAATCTTTCCACCATGACAGAATGCTTTCCAAAGGCAAATTTCACTCATCTTTCAAACTGTCACCACGGATAAGTTACAGGTCATTTCTGTTTATTGTAAAAGAGCAGCTATCTCAACCTAGGACCACTTGAAGGGCATTTCAAGTACCCTGGAAAGGTTGTGATGAATTACAGCAAAGCCTGCCCCTGCCACCATTTCTAGACCTTACTCTCCTCTGCATGGATATCTGTGTTGATGAACAGGAGCCAGGAGGACAGGTTTTTAATTTATTTTTATTTTTAATTTTTTAAAAATAATTGTTTTCTTTATTATTATTGTCATTTTTAATTGGACCAGAGTGAGGTGCAGAGAGAGAGAGAGAGAGAATGCAAGCCACCAGGTCCTTTACTTGGACTGTGGTCAGCCATGTGGGGGCCCAGCACCTCTAAATACCACGCCACCTGCCAGCCCCTTTAATTTTTTCTAAAAGAGATTTTTACTATAGGGTGTATGTCCTCACCGGAGACAGACAGAGAGACAGAAAGTGAGAAATCACCCCCAGGGGGGGGGATGGCCACACTGCAATCCTCTCTCCATTCTCCTCTCAGGATTTTGGGCATGCAAACAACGTGCCCAGTGTGAGCTTGAAGCCACTGGGTCCAGGACTCAAACCATGGTCAGTCATGTGGGAGTCTAGCAATGTAACCATTATGCTATCTGCTTGTCTCCAGCTTTTAAAAAAAGAATCATTTAATTATTTAATTTTATTTATTATTGTTAGGTTGTCAAAAGAGTCATGACTTTTCTTTTTGTGTTTTTCTCTGCAAAATATATCATGATTTCTCTGACAACCCAATATTATTATTATTATTTTAAAGAATTGTCTTATTGAACCTTATTTATTTATTGTTATTATTATTATTTTCCAGTTTGATCAGAGAGAGACAAAGGAAGAGAGAGGGAAAGTGAGAAAGCAAGCCACCAGGCCTAGGACTTGGCCTGCTGTCGGCCACTTGGGAATCCAGCACCTTTAACCACCATGCCATCTGCCGGCCCCAAATTTTTAAAATTTGCTATAGGGCACATGCACTTACCAGAGAAAGACAGAAAGAGAGAGAGAGAGACTGAGAGAGAGTGAAAGTGAGAAAGCAAGCTGCTAGGTCAGGTACTTGAACTAACTTGCAGCTAGCCATGCAACCTAACCACCATGCCACCTGCTGGCCACAGGAGGACAGATTTTGCCTTCACTGGATTGAGTGGATGACTCCAGAAGGGTGTGGAAGAGATTCAGATTTAGGGCCACATTTCAACCAATTCTCTTCTACACTGCCACCTTCCAAGGAAAAACACCTCCAGTAGGTCTCCCACTGGCAATTCCAAAGGGCAAACTAAATACCCCTCCCCCAGGGCAGAAATGATGTTGTAATTATTTATCCATAAAATAAATGGGTTTCATATTTCCTTCCCGTCCCCCTCCCCAGTTTTTTTAGTTTTAGCTCTAGGGTGGTGTGCCCTCACCAGAAAGAGAGAGAGAGAGAAACAGAGAGAGAGAGAGAGAGAGAAAGTGAGAAAGCACCCCCTGGGGGGCTGACCCCTCCACAGTCCCTTCTCCTCACTGGCCTTTCAGGATCTTCAGCACACGCACGCGCCTGGCATGTTTTTCAAGTCGCCAGATCCACAACTCAAACCACGCAGTTGTCTGTGTGGGATTCAGCCCCCTTCACCACCGGCTGGCCCGGGGTTTCTTATTTCCCCATCAAGCGTGTGTGAAGGACCTCCCTGGAGCTTTGTTTTAGGAAACAGACCTCATTCTGTCTCAGCCGTTTGCATCTCTCGGTACCGATGGAAATCAAGAGTGCTCTGGACTTTGGTTGTTTCTTAATTTAATTTAATGTTTTATATGCTGGGCACCTATGAGAAAGGAAGAACGAGGTCATTATTGAGGGAGCAAGTATGTCGTCAATGATCCCTAGGCAGATATACTGTCAGGCCAGAATGCATTTATTCACGTGTAACTCTTCAGCTTCCAGGTTCTAGTATCTGCCTGACAGCGGCGGTACACCGTTCTGTCTTTGCCCATTATTTTACCAAAAAGAAGCCAAAAAACTGATGCGTGCATATTTCCACCCTTGTTTCCGAATGACTTTGCCGCCACTTCTTCCTTTAAAGATTTGAGCTGTTGGGGTTGGCAGGTGGTGTGGTGGTTAAGGGTGCTGGATTCCCACATGGCCAACCACGGTACGAGTCCTGGACCTGGTCGGCTTGCTCTCTCACTTTCTCATCGTGGTTCAAGTCCTGGACCTGGCGGGTTGCTTTCTCACTTTCTCTC